GTAGGCGTACTGCGTCACGACAATACTAGACATTAGCTATACAAAGAACAAAGCGACTCATGGGAATCTATACTATATGTGCCGTGCGTTGTTTGTCTTATATTGTATAGAAAATAAATAATATAGAGTGATGTAAGTCATATTTCAAAGATATTATTTTTATTAACGACATTATTTGAATAAAGTAAACACTAGTAAAACTAAAAATTTTTATTAAAAGTTCAGAAATATAATACTGCAAAGAAGAATACTTTTATTTCCGTTTCGCTTTTATTCAAAGTAAAATATTCGTTGTTTCGCAGTAGTTGTAAATAAACCTTGAATCGTGTTGATAAGAACAAATATTGTGGATGAATCGAAACCGAATGGGCCGTGGAATCTAGGATGTAATTAGCGAATATGCACGAGAGTACAAACGTTCGCGTTGTTACGCAGAAAGCTAGCGAGACCTTGCCTCGCTCTAATAGTTGTGTCCTTGTCCAAGGTCTGCGCTCTGACGTCAGGCTATACACCCGGTAACGAGAGATTTTGCATCAACACGGTATGGGCGCAGGCGAACAACGCTTCGTCCCACTATGCTTTTTTATCCGCATACCAAATTATCCATCTGTTCAATAAATAGATAGGTATGTCGTGAATGATAGTTTTTATACAATAAATTAGACTGATTGTATCTCTATAAACCAATTTCAAAAGATCACAATGAAAAATAACTTCGTTCGAATTTAATATTGACTATTAAAGAAGGTAAAAAAGCGAATGTTAATATTAGACAGCAATTTTTAATATCCAATCAGGTGTAAAAAACGTTATGGTAGTAATAAGGCCAGGCGAACTCATCTCTATCTTTTTTTCCTGTTAGGCAGAGTAGGCAGCGAGCAAAGTGTGCAGGAACAGGTTCGCGCGGATCACATGTGGGTTCGCCGACCCCTCGGCCGATAATCCCGCCACCGCCTTGTTGACACCGAATCGAGGAATAACGTTCACGCGAAACGTAATAAACTCTACTAACTATCCGCTAGATAAGCGGACATTCGTCAACGTCCATTACGCATTTGAAACATGTGCTAGATAAACGTTTGGAAAAAGTTACTTGGTAAAAAAATGTACTTTCCTAATTTATTTACGATTGTATTGAGTGTTTCATTATTACAACACTGTGCACCGAATTGGCAGAAGCCGATAGAACGTTTGGCATCGTTGGCGAATGCGATAATCTAGCTCGGCGACACCGCGTCTGGTGCACGCTATTGTGTCGAGCTGCACCGATAATAGCTCCATACTAACCGATACCGGCATTACCGATTACGTGGGACGATAGCACATGGCAATCGCTACCTGGCCGCCGCAATGAGATTTTTATCGAAGCAAAATGACGTCACGTAAAAATACTACATTAAAATGACCATGGCTGCATTGCGTTTGCGCAACAATGATCCATCAAAACCGGTACGATTCCTTAAAAAGGTAGATGCTTTATTCGAACCCGGCCCGGGCTCGCGCGTCATCGCGCGCCGAACAATGCAGGTTAATTTCATGTTTACGTAAATGTAATGTCCGAGGCCGTTATTAAACAATTAATAAAGTCGCAGAGTTATGCCGGTGATGTTATAGTTTTTAAGAGTAAATAAGTATTACGTAAGCTGTGTGGAGAAACATTAGCGTCTCCGGTCCGCCCACGGTTAGAGTTTGGCCGCCAACAGTGTGTACAAGGTTAGTAGGAGCGTGGGCCTGAAAATATTGCACGCCAATACTCTGACTGGTAATGTAACACCAATTGTGCCGGCAAGTAGAGCGTCCGTTTTCCCAATATACATTCTGAGTTTTGTTGGGCACATTATAATTACGCAGTATTAAAGCTCGTTCAGACATCTGTCAGAATACACTCGAGTGGTGAACGGAATGCATAAAATTCTTGTCACCTTGATCAAATCCAAACCTGTTGTCAGCGTTGATTTATTATGCATGCGGCTTATGTAACAATTGTGCGTAATCATTTGTGTTGCTATTTTAATAAACTTCAGAGAACATAGATGAGTGTATGTCATTTTCTATGATAATGTACTTGACCTATATACAGAATGACTATGACGAACAGCTTATCATAAAAGACGGTGTAAAGACGATCGCGTTTTTGAATAAATTAGGATTAAAAATTCTATTGTTTGCATTTTAATGGTCGTTATCATATAGTTAACTTAGCTTCAAATTGAATATGAACGAGTAGATGAAGAATCGAATCAAAAATCCATAAAGTATTCACCGTAAATCTAATAACAATGTGGTATAGGTAAATAGATATTATTTATAGCGTACCTGGTATTGTTTGTCACTCTCTCTGTATCCGGGTAACACGAGAAGCCATTCGTGAGTCGTGATCATAGTTGTAGTCGAAGCGCACGCACTCGTAAACGTATTTATGACAGTTTTACAATGGGCCATATTGCATAACCGAGACCGCAGCGCCTTGACATTGCACGACACACTGAACCGAACACGTGTATCGTAAAACATATATTATATGCGCGATGCATTATTGTGCACTCCAATGATTTTTATGCTGATTGATTTCGCCACAAAGCTTTAGCACGGCATTTTCACGACGCAATTGTAGTCTATCGATAGTTTAATAGATTGCGAGATCTCACAATACTAATCATCAAAAATAAGAATAAGAAACAAAAATCTTTGTTTGATTATAACAATAATGATTCATTTATTAAAACTCTATAAGGAAATCATTACCAGAACTTACACAATAAATTTTATATTTATAAATATAACTTTCATAGGAATAAAATTTAATAACTTCTACGAAGAGTAAATTGCCAACAGAATGAAATGTTATTATTAGTGGAATACTTCAATCTGTGGTGTCGTAACTGATTTTTAATGATGCGTAAGCTGTAAATGTACGATTTCGTAGAGCGATGACAATAGTTTAGTTAAAATCACCTCGTGAGGACGGAGTATAAAATTTTATAGTTTCTGTAAGAGTTTATCACTGTTCAATATAGAAGTTGGTAGGCGGCTTATATAATTACGACCTCAATCTCTTGTTTTCCTATTATAAATTTGTTGTAATTATAATATTAAAACTCTTCACCATTTTACAGCTCTGTATAATATAATAATATATAATTAATATAATTTCTCAATACAAAGTATTTTACATGGAAACTTGCGAAGGTTTAGGTATCAATATACTCCATGTCTCTTAATGATGTCTAATTGCTTAAAAATGCTAGTGTAAAAGCTTTTACTTATGAATATGTGCTTCAAAATTTTCGACGATTATTTAATTTAACGCAAGATAATAATGCAAGGATAATCGGAATAATAAAGCATATACAGATTATTTTTAAACTAGCTTCGCCGCATGGTCTTGTATTATACATAAAAAACTTCCTTTTGAAACACTCTATCTATTAAAAAAACTGCATCAAAATCCGTTGCGTAGTTTTAAAGATTTAAGCATACATAGGGACAGAGAAAGCGACTTTGTTTTATACTGTATAGTGATGATAAATAAAAATATAACAGTTTCTAATAATAATGCAAGGTGCACTGAAGTTGATTACAGTGTGTATGCAATAGGTAATAAAATAGCCAAAGTAATAATCTACTAATAACATTTACCGCAGAAAACAAGTTTAGCTAATATGTGGTACATGAAATTGAAGGTCGCCTTCTGGTAAGCTGATTTACGTATAATTTTATAGATTCATGATCAATTAGTCAATTTGCACTTAATAATAATTTAACGCACATACGTATATTACACGTGTCACATCTTATTATGTAGTATTTTGATGCATTAAGAGTAACAATAACATTATTCTTACATTTATACGCGGCATAGTAAGCATTACAGATATTCTATAAAATCACGTCCTTTGTACAGTTAGGGTTAAAATATAATTAACACAACAAACATACGTCGGTTGAGGCGTAATTTACAATTTATTTGAGACACGTGTCGTGTATATATGCAATGCAATATGTAGGAATATAAAACGAATGCACTGACTGCCGTTGACTCTTTATCTTAGACACGACTTTGTATGCTGGTGGGTAATTACATTTCATAGGTCATTACTTCAGTACAATAGTTTTCTGTTTAGAGAAAGAGCACAGCCGAATAAGTGTTTTGTTATGAATTATTTTTAACTATAATTAATTTAACGTGATTGACTACTCACGTATACATATATTCAAAACTTGGTATTAGGTTGTGTTTATTATTTTTGTATTCAAAGTTAATGCAGACATGACGCCATTTGTGAAATATGGTCAGCCTCCGCGGACTTTGCGAAACCAGGAACAGAAATTGCAGAGGCCGAGAGACGTGATATAATGGCATTTACTGACGGCGAACAGGTGTCTTGTTAGGTGAAAGTGTGCTTTGTGTAAACCATAGAATATCGACAGATATTATACAGAAAAGAAACGATTCTTTAGGATTGAAGAAGAATGAAATTGGAAGTTTTAATGACGCAGTATCTAGGGTTTTAAAGTGGCGTAGAGTAATAAACGGGGGTTCTGTGGCAGAATTGCTTTTACCAATGTTTCGGTAAAGATGACATATAACTGCATTCAGTTTGAGATCACACACAATATAACAGGAACCTGTGACGGGGTTCCTGAAGTTCGTGTTATTGAAACGGCCGGTACAGCGGGATCTGACAAATTGTTGAAATTGTGGAATTAGTATAGGTAAGGGCAAACATCCTTGAGCAAAACAAAGCTAGTCCACATCTAACCTTACAGACTATGAAAGCAAGCATAAAGTGCGTTACGGTCTAATTGAAGTCAGCACTGGTGACTGGGCACGTTCCACACGACATATCGTCGTAATTTAGACTCCACGACTGTAGACCCGTTATGTTTCTTCGTGATGCGAGACTTTATGAAATGAGATCGTAACTAATTGCAATAGCGCTGATTTTTATTATTAGGGAGGGACGAATTTAGAATGTGTTTTGCATTAACGCAACGAATTAGCGGACTCTGTGTTGTAATTGGACGTTCAAGACTATCTCTCGATCTCTCGATGAGAGGCGTGCGTTCTACTAGTAAAAATATTATAAAGCAACTTTATTGACCAACATGTATTCTGTTTTTATAAGTTAAAATTTTTCTGTATTCTTCATATTCAAAATGTCCTAGATTATAGATTAGAAATTAAATTTAAGGGTAAAGGTAATGTTTAGAGATTTAATGTATATCACGTCGTTTTTATATTTATATTAACACTTACCCTCTTCTTGCGTGGATGCATTTCTTCATAGTCCATAGCAATACCCTCATCGCTGAAAGAAGACGAGGCGGGTGGTGGGGATGGAGTACCAGAACGCCAAGATGACCCTGAGCTGCTGCTGGCTCCTGGTGAAACCGATGACCGGCCGCCCCAAGCGCCTACGCAACAAATTCTATGTAAGAATGTGACAGTTAAAAAAAGTCATTCATAAAATTCAGAGTGTAAACGGCGCATTGCTGCATTTCTTTAAATAATGATTTTGAATATCCAGAAGTTCTAATGCATACAATAAATCAGTTTTTTTTTCAAAATGTTTTTCGGTTCGTTCTATTTCAAACATCTCCATTTACATTTCTAAATATTATTTTATTGAGCACAACCTAACAATATTAGGTTGGTTAGTAGTTAGGAAAATAAACCAATTTAGTTTATAAGGAAAATGATAATGATAATATCCAATAAAGTTCTATTTGGTGCAATTCATTATGAGATTATTAACTTATATAGGAAACATGAAATATTATACGAGTAATTTGAATGATTTAGAAACTGGGATAAATAGATAGATTATTCGTTTATTGGGCCACTAGGTACTTCTAAGAGTGATTGCATAATTTAAAAGCATTAGAAATATTAAATACAATAAATAACACAGAAACGGAACTACGTCCAGTTACTTTCACTGACAAGAACTGCTATTCGCCGCGCACGCGCAAGCGTAACGTCAGACGAAGATGTGTCATATACTTTTAAAACTGGGTTTCAAGACTAAAGAGAAAAAGAGAGACAAATGAGATATGTATATCAGAGGATTGCGTATTAAAACATTTCATGAAAAATGTTGCCAAGACAACACCATATGGCTAGCACAGTCAAAAGTTTCACAGAATTTACGTACAACTAAGCTTCTCACTTTATATGCCTTAACTATTTTAAGTCTTAATTTTACAAACTTTACAACTCAGTCAAAAAACATGTGGCTTGGCTGTTTTTTTAGAAATCCTTGGTGTACATGCCCTCTTAATGGAGGCGGCGTGTATCCAGCCTGCGATTGCATAACGGCCGAGCTGTGTTGCTTTTTACATAGATTATCATTTACCGCTACAAATATAAACTTTAGTTCCATAAATTCAATATCATTTATTAAATAATCACTCGAGACAGTAATTTTGCGCCTGAATCCTCATAGAAAATTTGTAGCTCAGGAGTTTTATGCACGATTTTTGAGTTAAAATTTCATTTGACAATGATAGATTACTAAATGATATCTTTACAAATCAAAAGAACAAACAATAAATGTTTCGAATTATTATTCAAATTTTCAGTGCCGAATTTATTTAAGGTTATTTGTTATAAAAAGCATATCATTCATTATGAATTAAGAATGAATAAATTGTTCTCTTAAAAGAGCAATAATACAACAGCGTTTGCTGACAGGACAGAGACATTATATTACAGGTTTGTTAAAATTAATGGAAATACTAAAGACGTCCAAAGGTTGTAAAAGGGACCAAATATCTGGGACTCATCACTAGATACGTACACCAAATACCTGTCTAGACGACGTCTAGACTGGCGTCTAGACGTTTTCCATCTAAGTTTTATTATGAATTTTCCACTAAATACAACCTGTAGCTAAGTGCCAAAAGTATTATTGTGAAATTAAATTTCTTCTACTCTTAATAAGAAAACTTTGTGAATTTTTCCAGCTTTTATTGAACTCCTGAGAGTTCTTTAAATATTTCAAAATTATGTAATCAATCACTCACAGTGAATAAAAGGAAAACTGTACCAAAGTAAATGGGAAATTAGTCATCCAAAATATTTCTTTAGGCAGCTTGCGAGGCAAGACCATAATGACGCAATAGATATATTTAAATTATCGCCGTGAGTTCCATTACATTGCATTGGTTAAAATATGGCTTTAAGTTAAAGCAACGACTCTAATAATATGAGTACATACTTATACGGGATAATTATTACGTTACTGGCTTATTTTTAATATAAAAAAAGAATAAATTTATCGAAAGAGGTTTTTATTCCCATACAAAACATTGTGTCTATGCTATTTCGAGACTAAGCACACAACAGCTGCCAGCTAAAAATGTCGGAACAATGTTTTATTGCAACGACATGCAGGCACATACCTATATATTTTATGTTACTCTGGAGTTGTGATGGTGATGTGTTGTCTGTATAGGTGTCACTTACTGGGCCTCGGTGAGTTGGGGGAGCAACTGAGTGACATCAGGACCAAGGCAGCATTGCACTCGTTCATCTGCTCATCTCTTTCACCGTAGCCTAAGTCGCAGGAGCTGCTCGGACCACGTTTACGAGATCTGAAAATAAAAGACAATTATTGATTTGATTGACAGCAAAAAGGTTTCTGAAATAATAATTTCTTACGGTCTGTGTGCTGCTGTTGTGGTATTCGGTTTGCATAGCTACAAATCAATATATGGCTACTTTTCCGGGAAAAATCAATAGAATAGATAACGATTTTTAGTCGGTTGAATGATAATTGACTTATAAAAATAGTAAGTGAACTATTTAACGTCATTTCAATAAAACTATTTATAAAGATAACTCGGGTTTTGTTTAATATAATTCGGATTTGATCGCATAGTTTTAAGGAGTTGCCTGCCAGCCATGATTCAATCAGATGAACAAGTCTAGACTGGTTTGTTGACCTCTGTATTAAGTTCAAAAGATGGCATTGGTGTGGGCCAGCGGGCGGGCGGTATGACGGGGTGGCAGTGGTTGCGTAACCGACCGCGACCCATAAACGAAATGTAAAGTTTTTCCACGAGGCTTCCAGTTAAAGATTGCCACTAGTCTTATCACCTCGCATCACCTTCACAGTGAGAGCCGTTCACCCTCAATTCGGTCGTCGGCTTCATATTGTCAGTGCACGTGGAGGTCGTATGTCTACTGTTGTCACATATAAAAATAGACTTCCACTTTCTTATAACAAGCAACACTTAAACCACTTAAACATCCAGTTCTAAATCAAAAGTTGATTAATTAACAGAAACATTGCTAGAAATAACGTAGTGTGAACCACTTTAATGTGTTACATCTACAGTGTTATTAATAAACAAGGTTTAGCGTCAGAGTAAATTTACGCTAAATTTGCAATTTTAGTATTAATCAAAATTCATATTATGAATTTTGAATATACAATTCATAATATGAATAATCAAAATTCATATTATGAATTTTGAATATACTGAGATTAAGCATACCTACTACCTTCTAGGAGTAAATATTACTCCCGTAGAACTTCGTACTAGGTTAACCTTTGCTAAGTCTCTGTTTAATAATATGAATTTTCACAAATACTAAGTGCAGTCTGAGCGTAAATTTACTCCAACGCTAAACCTTGTTCATTAATAAGACTGCCTAAGTCTTATTTTTCTAAGAAATGAGTTATTTTGTAGTTGACCATTTTATTTAATTGATGTAAACTGACACTTGTGATAGGACTGTGCTATTATGTTAAGAGACAGCGAAATCAACGTCGAGCATGTAAACTGACACTTGTGATAGGACTGTGCTATTATGTTAAGAGACAGCGAAATCAACGTCGAGCATAGCGCTGAAACAGCATTGAGGTTCAATTAAATAAAACCTTACCTTTTTATATAGATTTTATTCAATTGAATATCTTTACTATGGTTGGGCTGCAGCTGATGTTTTAATAACATAATACCACTGCAAGATGATATTATGTTTAAATAATATTTGAATACAAACAGATTAATTCGTTGTTGAGTGAATGGTGAAAATACTAAAGAACACTACGTAGGCGAAAAGGTTTGAGAATATCCAAAACATGAATGGGAGTAACGCATACAGTTCTACAGCTAGTGTTGTGACGCAGGTCCTATTCAAAAATAAAATGGATTCGTTATGCAAATAGCATGTCAACTGGACGTTGTTTGTATTATTTTACGTAACTTTTATTGTGTACGTTACAGTGACGCTTTACAAAATGCTGAATAAATATATTACTAAATAATTTATCCATTAAGGAACCATTTATGAAAAGAAGAATGGCGAAATCAGACCCCATAATTTATAAAACCGTACATGGATGGCAATATGACAAATAAATAATATATGATTAATAGATTTTATTTCTACAAATTGATGAATTTTAATGTCGGGGAACCAAACTAAAATATTAAATGCTGCTAATAATTATCAAGATAACAAAACGTCTGATGATAGTGCAAAAACAAAACGCGAAAATCTTCTTAAGAAACGTTCTGGTCTACGCAGAAGTACTTTAATAATAAAACTATATCTAATAATAAAAGGGTCATCTATTTTAATGGATATTATCGTTTCCTGTACATAACAATTAATTCTATTGCCTTTAAAGTACCATTAATACGCTTAATAATCGAATTTAAATTCAAAATAAGATTATATAGAATAGATTCCGTTCTCTTTAATTGAAAACCACACAATATGTCAAAGGGTTGTAGTTTGGATGGTTTTTGAAAAATCGATCACATACATCAACGATGTCAGAAGCGATTCTCAATTAATCGCGAGTTTTTTAAACATGTTCTATAGAATATTATCTGTCGTCATTAACTGCCAATAATAAGTGAGATATGTGATTTAATGATGCGTACCGACTGAGCGAATGAACGTCAAATATATATTCAATATAAAATCTATATATAATATATTATATGAAATACGATCTTTGAATACTTTCATAAATATTTATTTTATTTGTTCAAATTACGAATTGAATACTTGAGAAATAAAAAAATTGAAAGCTAAGATACCACAACCGATTTAAGAAGATTATTGCCAGTTCTGCAGTTGATTCGATGAAAGGTTAACGTATCGATTATTTTGTTCTAAATAATCGATTGGTTGATTTTATTTTGACATGCTTGTTTTCATCTATGAATGTTCTATGATGATGATGGTGGAATGATAGCGGATGATTAGTTTGGTTTCTTTGTTGTGTGATCGTTCGTGGAGTTTGATATTTATGTTAATATTCAACTTGATAATTAAGCATGTTTTTTTGACTAACGTTGATAATTGCATTATTTTTGGATTCCGAATGGCAATCGATTCGGTATATCAATGACAGTTCAATGTGTACATTGCCCTTATTTGTCACTTTCAGTTGTAATTATTTAATTAAAGGCAAAGGGATCTACTCCACACAGTCTAGTCATATGTTATAAATGTTTCATCTATTATAAGTGTCTGGATCTTGTTAGATATGTTACTATCTTAATCTAGTTTATTAAACGGAGTAATCTGGTTACCATTTTTATTTATTTTAACGGCCATTCAACGAAAAAGCAAAGATGCAATATATAACCCCACAAAGTATTTTATGCCATATCTTTTTAACCCCAACTTTTAAAGGAAAAAGACGATTGGGATTTTGTTACTTTAGTTTATACCTTCAAGTACACGTTTATTTCATTCATGAACGGGACTCTAAAAATTCAGGTCCAAAGCTATATGGGAGTTCGCCATTGTTCTTTATTGATATTGCTATAGTAGTAAACGAAGATAACATTTTTAAAATTAAAACAAAGAAAATGTACATATTGAGACATATTATTACCAGTTATCTAAAGTACTATCAGTACTTGGGATTTATTGATAAATATAACAACTTCCTTAATAAATTAAAATATTAATGCTGTTTAAGAACTATGCGAATATAGGAACACGTTTTGGTATCGTTTTATATATCCCTATGAGTGATATTTAATTCTTACTTATGTTTAGAAGTAGTGGCTGATTACTGTATTTCGTACTTAAACTAACGCATGTAAATAAACCATTTCAACTGTACTTGTGATAGTGATTCGTATTGTTAGCAAAGTCTTTCAGCCTTCTTATAAAATGAGGACTAACTTTAGTTCTAGGTTTTATTATTTTTAAACCATTATCCGGCTAAAATAAGTGTATGTCTCAATTTGAAGTTTAAACTAAGTACTAAATTTAGATCTCGTTTATAATAAGACGGTCTAATTTTGCGTACTCGTACACCTTAAAATGAATAAGCAAAAACCTTCAAAAGTGATTCGTCATCATCATCCAGTCCATTCTGCACGGACTCAAGCCTTCCTTATGGATGGTTAACGAGGATGGACCATAACCCTTCACGCTGGCCTAATGCGGATTGGAGGGTATTCAGAACCGCAGATGCAGCCGAGACCAACGGCTTAACGTGTTTTCCGAAGAACGGAGTCGCTCGAGATAGTAATTTTCTATTCACCCATCCCGTGACTGAAGTTACGAAAGTTAACTTAGCTAGTTGTTATTTACCAACTGTAGCGCTTATCTACTACGCCAATGAGCTACTTGTAGATTCGTGATATATAACTTTTAGGGATTGCGTATGTATCTAATGCGTGTTGAGGGAGGGCAGGGTGAAAGATCGACCCTGGACTAGGTCGATCGTCTTGGCTGGTTTGTTTGACCGGCGCCTCAGAATTTCTCCGAGTCGAAGACTTTTCAACGATAGCCGACAGTTATAAATCTAGACTTTAGTTGAATTGGTTATCACTGTCGTCATTAAACCTATTCTATGATCGACAATTGCTACAGAGTACAAATTAATTGCTTTTTATAATCAACAGTTTACTTATGTAAACTATGGTTTGTTTGACATGATTTATACATTTCTGATATGTATAGGAATCCCGGCAGACTTGACTGAGAGATACATGTTCCATCCATAACGTTTTATAGAATTATATTCTTGCTTGTTTTCCAGATATAATTCCCAAGAACCAATAAGAAATTGGTGAGAAATAATGATTGCATTCGCAGTAAGGATCAACAATCGCAATCAATCTGAATCTGCCTTCCGAAGTACATAGAGGTTCAATTAAATAAATTTTTGGTGACCCATCCAATCGGGCTTTGCTAAAGTAGCTTAATATCGAATACACTAACTAATACTGTACCAACGATCTCCTTCTTCTATTGAGTTTTTTTCGCAAATATGTTTATTTCTTTATGTAAAAAAAATGTTTTATTCTAGTGTGGGTTTAGGGGTTAAGGTTCGGAGGTTTAGCCGGTTCCCCGGCCGGTGCGACCGATCGTTGACTCGGGCGGCTAGCGGGCGGCGACCCGGGGTCTACTAAATACCGAAAACATGGTCTGTGTATTAGAACCAGTGCCAAATCTCTTTGCAGTATAAATTAAAAAAAGAAACGACCAAATAAGCAACAGAAAAGAGATTTATTTATTGATTATTTAGTTAGGTATATAGATAGGTATGTGTTGTTTTTAATTTAATGAAAAAATATGTTATTGTTTTTATTCTTATCGGAACCATTGAAGCAACAGCTTTTTACACGAACAATTTAATTGCGCATCGGAATTCAACATATGTTTTGCAAGAATTTTGGCACAGTTATTGAATAAACAGAATGATACATGTCGCACCCTAAAAGTGTTCATTTAATACCTTATTGTTTTTACCTATCAGCTGTTCAAATATAGCTAGAACATTACAATCGACCTTATCGTACCCCAGTTACAAGGTCTATTAACCCGTACTGCTGTGACCTTCAATTTACGACACAAAATCATAAAAGTAAAACGTAATCATTACGGAGATATAATTTTAGAATTAAACACGTGAACTATGTCTATTTTGTAAGGTCCTTATCCTTTTAAATAAATGTAAAGAATGTGAAGTTATCTAAATAGATAAGAACCTATCAAAGATGAACAATGTGGCGATATCCTGGTTTCTGATATTTAGATGTCAGTTTTGTATAAAATAAATTTAAAAAATATCAGTTTATCCTATATGACCTTGATGGAACCATCATCATAATTTTATTCATCACAAAGAGGTGACATGACACTGAAATGAAATGCTCTGTGGTTG